TGTGTGTGTGTGTGTGTCACCTCGAGCAGCTTGTAGAAGTGTGTGTATCCATGACGTTCGGCCACATCAGTCAGATTCATCTACAACGAGTTATTGACAGAAGAAAGAATCAATCAGTCGTTTATTCTCCGCAGATCCATTTGTTTCTACATAATTACTTATCATTAATTGATCTGAAACATATTGAACTGACGGAGATGTTGGGCTCCAAATCTTTGTAGAGGTCGGGAGGAAACAGAATCTTGTCGATCTCGTGGAAAATCCCATTGACACTGACATCGTGGCTGTACGTCACGTTAGCACCGTTGATGAAGATGTTTCCCTGAAAATATTCAACAGATTGTACTCAACATGAATCAGCTGGTCACGTGACAGCTTTTTAAATATTGATGACATTCAGCTGCCTGATCGGTCACCTGGCTTGATCTGGTGGACAGGACAAGTCCAGACAGAGACGTCAGGTTTCGGGGTCGACTCAGGTCGGTGGGCAGCAGCGTGTGACACATGACAATGTGGCTTCGCAGGACTGTGGCGAATTGTTCTTTATGTTTCCCCAACATCATTGATTTCATCTAAATGAATAATAAACGTGTTTTTGATTCAGGTCATCTTATTGTTTCAGATTCAGTGTTTTTGTATAATAGGCTTAAAAGAATATGTATATTTTATTAATGAAGTTTCATAATTATTAATCAATTATTGATTATTATTAAGCTACTTGAATAGAAATTGCTGGTTGTGAAATTATTTGGTCACCTTAGCAGTGCCAATACTGTTCCCTGTGAAGGCGTTGCTGCTTGGTGGAAAGACGGTGAACGGGCCGCGACCTTTCAGAGAAATCTCAACCATCTGAAAGGAGAGTTTACATCATTAGTCAGTTTTCACCTGCAGGGGGTTAGCAATTGCAATTGTCACTCACCATCAGGCCAATGTAAAAGTCTCGCAGCTTCCTCGTCAGGATTTCCTGCACAGAGTCACACGTTAGCAACTGTCAAGTGGAACCAGGCGTGCTTCTAACGTCATGTGGCATCATGTCTCACCTTGTCCACGGTGCCTTTGCAGGTGAGTCCGTCTCCCAGGAAGTTCGACTTGCAGGTGCAGGTGCGGACACCTGGACCGCTCATGTTACAGCGTGCAAACTGATGACAGCCACCATTTTTCTGTAAACAGTCAGAGATATGTTACTCCTCTACAGAGTAAAATTACCACATTTCACTGCCTCTACTGACACCTGGTGTTTCACTGCAGTACTGCTTTAGTAAATTGGTATTACTGCAGTGATACCTTTGATTTGTCTTAAGGAGACGGATTATGCTTTTTCTGTCTTTCCCAGTCCTCTAATGGTTTGTATGGGTGTATGTGTGTTTTGTGAATGTAAACGTGGGCATGGCTCAAAATCCCAAAGTCCGCAGCAGAGGGCGCTCTTCTCTCTCACGGTAAACTATTTTCTGGAGTCAACTGAAAAGCCCCATCTTCATTTTTCTAATATGTCCGTTCCTGGCTGACATCAGCAGGGTGCTCATCAGCATAATGAACCCCTAGCAGCTAGTCAAACACAGCACAGTGTAACCTGAGCTGGGAGGAGGAGCTAGCAGCGTTCACCCTTCAGGTGCTGTTGGAAAATCAAAACATTACACAGAGTACAACCACGCTAAAGTCTCCCGACGTTCACAGTTGGCCTGTTTACTAAAGCTAAAGCTGTGGAACTGTGTTTACTGTGTTTTAAATGAATTACACCTGTATAACTTAAAATGAAAGTTTTCTGAACTTTGGCGCCAGTGAACCGTGGAACACAAATTAAAATGATGACCCCCAAACATAAAAGGTCTCCTTCAAAGAACCTTAATTGTTTATTGATGACGTCATCACACTCACCTTTTGACACAAGTTGATCATGTGACAGTTCTGTCCGTCACCTGAGTAACCTTCACTGCAGGAACAGGATGTCTGCACACAGCATGACATCAATAATCAACTATCGATAATCAATAATCACTGGTTGATAGTCGTATGTGTGTAAAGTATTTACTTTGTTCGGTCCAACGTGGACGCAGTCTGCGTTTGCATGACAACCTCCATTTCCTTCCAGACATGGATTTATTTCTGTGGGAGAGGGGGAGAGAGATAGTGAGGAGGGGGAGAGAGATTGGGAACACTTGAGCACCATCAGGTTCTCAGCTCTGACTAGTTCAACTGTAAACAATCACTGTAATAATCAATAATTATTGATAACAGTAACAATTCATAAAATAATCAAATTCATCGATTTGTAATTGAATAGAGACTTTAGTTTTTAATATATTTGAAAAGTTTTATTTACATTTAAAGATGCACGTAAGCCTGTGAGCAACCACCTGAGGCCACACTTACCGACACACACAAGTCCATCTCCATAGTAACCATTGTAACAGACACAGGCTCTGCGTCCAGGTCGTGTCCTCTTACAGACGGCGTAAAGACTGCAGCGGCCGTTGTCCTCCACACATGGGTCTTTAGCTATAAACACAGACACTGATGCTCAGTCCGACCGTCACACCTGAAACTGATGCACCTGAGAGGTCACCTGACCATACCTCGACAAGAAGTCCCATTTCCCTGGAAACCAGCAGCGCAGAAACACAGAGGTCCGGACAGTCCGATCAAACAACTGCCATACAAACGCAACACAACATTACAACACATTACACCGAGCTGTGTTCAGAGCAGGGGTCTGCAGGGGGCGCTGAAGCTCACTGAGATGTGTTCACTTACTTTGCACTGGTGTGACATTTCACTGAGCCGCACAACTCGTCAGCCGCCGACTCGACTTCTGTAAAAAAGAACACGGTCCATTACACATAAATATACAATATATGTAAATATACATATATATTAGTTACAAGCTTTGTCATATAAACATACGGGTACTATGATACAAACATATATACATGTAAACATACGTCATGCTCTCTCATTTCTTTTGTTATCTTACTTTCGTCGCAGAGGATTCCTCGCCACCCGACATCACACTCACACGTCCCGTCGCCCATGACGCCTTCATTACAGCGTCCGTTTTTACATCTGCAGTCTGAGGGAGGGGGGAAGAGACGGAGTCAAAGTTAAATGTCCAATCATTCTTGGTTGACAGTTTCCTATGTGAGGCGTACTCACCCTGATCACAGTGGACGCCATATTTGCCGCTCTGGCAGGTCTCACACGCCGTCCCATTAAAACCTTGGTTACACTGACAGACTCCGGTACCATTCGTCCCGTCCATACACGCTCCGTTACCGAAGCAGGGCTGACCCGGCAGCCCTGGACAAGGCTCACAGTGCTTCCCGAAAAACCCGCCACAACACGCTCGGACCTAAGAACAGTGGAGAGAGCTGTGAGACCGTGAACGTGTTCGTCCTCATCACATGATTTACATGTATGTATAAGAGCAGACATACGATGTTCTTCTGAAGGCAGGTGGGTCTACAGCCGATGGTCAACAGTTGCTCTCCTTCAAACATGCGGCTGAACATACACTTCCTACTCCGCATGGATTTCTGCCGAGACCAAAGGTCAGTTTTAATGAAAGAAAATCAGTGAGAGCTTTAAAGAGTCAAGTCTCACTACCGACACTTCTTCCACATACACTTATATATTTAAAATTAATTTCCTTCAGTCTGTTTTTAATTTATTGTACATTAAGAATTTTATGTCCGAATTATGTCTCAATAAACTCATTAGCTTGGCACAAAATAAAAAAATGTGTGTGAATGAGATCTGGATCTATTGTTTACAAACAAGACGTGTGGTAGTGAAGTGAAGAAGCCTCTTAATGAGAAAGTTTGAGTCCCATGATGTGGCCTCGATAATGAGCTTTAGTCTGACTCACTAGGACACACTGACTCTGAGGACACTCTGTGGTGGAAACCTTTGACATCACTACTCTATAGAAACTCATGGACCTTTTTTCAACGTTGTTGTTCCTCATGTTTTGGTTTGTCGGATTAAAAGTCTGAGGTGATGACAGACGAGTCTGCATCATTTGTCAGTAAATGTTCATCAGTTTGAGAATCTGAAGTTTTCATCGTGCTACAGTTTAAAATCTTACGTCTGGGACGGAGTTGTTGGGACAGATTTTGCCGATTGGGAACAAACAGTCGACGCACGTTGCCTGTGAAGAGAAAAGAGGAGGTTGTGAATAAACAGCTGAGTTTGTGTCTATTATTCTCTTCGGTTTCTCGGGTTCCGTACCATGACCTTCTGATACGTAGCTTCATCGCAGCGGTTCCTGTTGATCTTGAGAACGGCCGACAGACCGTGAATCACACCATTACCGCTCAGGATGTTGGACGAGTTGATCTGAGCGTCGTTCACTAACAGCTGGAGGACAGAGAGAGTGAGTCAGGATGCAATCAGACATTCATGTAATTAAAACTTTATTTCTATAGCACTTATCTTACTAAGGTTACAAAGTGCTTCGCAAAATATGTGGTAAAAAAAAAAACCTGCTGCTTCCTGGCAGCACTATGAAAGCCATGTGGCCACTCAGTAGATCAGACATCATCACCTCTGTGTCTTTTTAAAATAAATACCTACTGTCACAGGCAGCAGAGTCAAAGCTGTCCCATTTGAGAAACTACATAAAATATAGAAGCAAAAAAAGGACGATAAAAAGGAATACAGGAGTTAAAATGGTACAGTAGCACCAGAATTACAAATCCCATGTTAAAGAAGCTTTCCTATAAAAAAGATGTTAGTTGAGACAGCTAGTTAGCTGCTAATGTGGTCAGGTAGTTCCAGAGCCTCAGGGCCCTGACAGAGAAAGTCTCCCTGAGTAGCCTTGACCCTGATCTGAGGTCTCGACTGGGACTGTTGGGAGTCAAGTGGGGGCCAGCCCATGTTGAGCTTTAAAACTTCTTTAAAAAGAATCTTAAAATCAATCCTGAATTTAATTGGAACCAGTGAAGGGACGCAAGGATTGGTGTGATATGAGACCTACATGTTTGTTTTAGTTAAAATACGAGCAGCAGCATTTTGAACAAGCTGCAAATGAATTACTACGATTTGACTGAGGCATGTATACAGGGCGTTGCAGTAATCCAGGCGGAAAAAGACAAAGACACGTATTAGCTTTTCTAAGTCAGGGGGAGATAGAACTGATTTAATCTTAGAAACATTTCGTAGATGGAAGTAGCAGTGGTGATATTAATATGTGTTTTGAAATTCAGATGGAATCGAATGTGGCACCTAGATTTTTAGCTGTTCTTTGAATATTGGCTGCCAGGGGATCAAGAAACGAAAAGGAGTTTGCCTGCTAGCTGATCGGGACCAAAATGTATTATTTCTATTTTGTTTGAATGTAACTGAAGAAGGTTAAGTGACATCCATTCCTTAATGGCGGATAGGCACTCTGTTAGCATGCTCACTCTGCTGATGTTGTCTGGTTTAAAAGACAAGCAGATTTGGGCATAGGAACAATATGATGACCCATCAAAATTTCTGATGACGTTTCCTATGGGAAAAATAGAATAGGACCAAGAATGGAACCTTGTTGCACCTCGCACATCGGTGGAGCCAAGGATGAGGTGTTATTTCCAACGGAAACAGAAATTTCTCTATCTGAGAGATAAGCCTTGAACCATCTACGGGCAGTTCCAGATATGCCGACGCACTGCGTTAGTCTTTTGATAAGAATGTTTTGGTCAATGGTGTCAACTGCGGTGCTGAGGTCAAGGAGCAGAAATACGTACAAATCACCAGCGTCAGCAATACATCATTTGTCATTTTAATAAGAGCAGTTTCCGTACTGTGTCGTTTACAAAATCCAGACTGTAACTTTTGAAAAATATTATTATTGTCACGCACAGCTAAAAGTTGGGTAAGAACCACCTTCTCAAGAATGTCGGATAGGAAGGGGGGGTTTTCAAATGGCCTATAATTCTGTGGGAGTGATTAGTCTAGATATGGCTTTTTCAGTAAAGGCTGAATGCTGAATTTCTTAAAATGATCAGGGACTTGGCCAGAAGAGAGAGAGCAATTCATAATTCGCAGAAGGCTGGGAACAATAGTACTAATTACTTTTAGAAGTGAGGTGGGTAGGATGTCGAGAGGAAGAAGAACGCATGTGTGATGCAGTGTCGATGAGTTCAGGAAGAGAAACTTGATGAAAATAATGAGGAGAATTTGCGGTTTGCGATATTTGGAATGACGTGGTAGTTTGTTCAATATAAGTTCAGTATATCAGTTTGGTTAAAAAAAAAGATAATCAGTAACTGATCAAATACTCATGTTATCAGAGACCTTTCCCTCGCGGAGCATGATGGCGAGCTGGAAGGAGAACCCCAGTAGTGTCTGCTTGTAACCTCCAGGCTGCAGGTCGGTCTTTAACAGGCGCTCTGCTGCCACCACATGGTAACGAGTCGTATTAACATCCTGTCAATTGAAAATTAAATTACAGAGATGTGATTCAGAACTTCTTGTTCTCAGTAACTGGACGTTTTATTATTTTATTGGATAAATGACTTTAGAAACGTAAAACAACAAGTACCAGAGCAGTCGCAGCCATTTTCTTCAGGTAATCGTTGATGGCAGCGTCTGTCGGAGCGAAGACGGTGAATTCATCACCCTGTTCGATCTCGTCTGTCAAGTTGTAATCCTCAACAACACAAACAGACACACACTGTGAACATTACACATTTATATTGTGTGTGTGCGTGGGTATAGGTGTTTGTATGTTCGTACAATGAGGTATGATCTGAAGAGCGAGAACTCAGGTCTCAGAGCGAGTGTCGCCAACAGCCCTTCACTCAGCTTCCTGTCGGGAACCAGAACCTGAGGATGAACGCAGAGAGAAGAGTCAGTCAGTCGGAGGTGATAAAGCGTCGCCAGCCTTGAGAACGCGTCGGCTCTGTACCTTATCGATTATGTGGATCAGTCCGTTGGTAGCAGCAATATCAGATGTGATGATGGTGGCGCCACCAACAATTGTGAGCTGATAAAACAAAATCTTAAATGGTTAGAAAGTTCATGGAGAGATTTAAAGATTCTGACCCGTAGAATGAGCTGCGATCATAAAGCCCAGAGACAGCGATGATTCAGAATTCTGCCTCATGTTGTGAGATCCACATCAGAATCTATTACACGAGTCAAACTCTCATCGAGTATCGTCATGATGAGAGTTTAATCTACGACTACAACCCAAAGACCAAACAGGAGGAGGAGCCACCGGCTCCACAAACCAAGAAGGTTCATCAGGTGACGCCCACAAGCAGCGCCTCGTTTTTTCTGAACATTCTCAGGGTTTTACTTCGTGGATTCGACCATCTCAACTGCCAGAACGGCGAGAACCGCTAACCCTAACCCTAACCCTAACCCTAACCCTTTGACTTCGAAGAACATGGCAGCCAAATTTATATCAGATACTTGTTGACACAACTGTCCTCAACGAATAAAAATCAGCGCAGGTTAGAAGACGTTCATTACAAATTTCTGGTCTTTTGGGCAGAAATGACAGAACATGATCGACCCCCGTGGACTCACCTCATTGGCTGTAGAAACAGGAAATGTAGTCTTGAGAAGTGAGGTCACAGGGGAAGTGGGGTTCAGGCTGGAAGATGGATAGTTTCCAGGGATCATGTGATTTCTGTCAGGTGTGAAACACAGATGTCAACAAACAGCTGGAGACAAAGTTAATCTGTCCAAAATAAAAAACACTTTTAAGTTTTAACCTGATGAGACTAGGCAGGTTTCCCTTCGTCGTCCAGAAGTTCTTGTCGTCTGAAGACATTTTGTCGACAGCAGCAGAAGACGGAACCAGGAGAGTGACGTTCTGATCCAACAGAGACACACCGGAGTCCTGACGGAGGACAGACAAGACTGATGACATCACAACAAACTATGAACAGCTGACAAACAGAACCTGCTCATACTCACAGTCGTCCATTTGAAGAATTCAGACGTCTCGGGCAGCACCATCAGCTCCTGTAACATCAGAAGAACAGACTCAGCTGTGTCAGTGAACGCATCGCACAGTGTTTATTCATGTGAACATAGCTGACACTCACCTGTTCTACGCTCCCGAAACACATTCGACCATCTCCAACGTAACCTTCATCACAGACACATGTCCACTGAGAGGACAGCAGCAGACAGCTCGCCTTAACACAAGGACAAGGACAATTACTTGATGTCCAACAAGTCACCTGATCACATCATCTATTGATCAATTACTATTCGTGATCAATAACAATCATGAGTGAAAACCACAGACTTGTGATTCATGGTCCAATCGACCAATCCTGAGTCAGTGTCAGCTGTCAATCATGACGTCTCCGCCTGTTTTTATATCATCAAATAACTGATTCAAACCAAACTGATGAGAAACACTTGAACAAACATCAGAGACATGAGAACGAGCTGAAATGACAGAAACATCTTTGACAAACATTTATTTAACGTCTACTTTGAGTTTTTAGTTTGGTCCATGCTAACATGGAGACGCAGGGTTTATGACTATACTGAGGTCAGCCCCCAGGGGGCAATCATGTCATCTCACCAGGTAATGGCAGCCTCCACTCATGGTGACACACGGATTCACAGCTTCACAGTCTCGTCCGTTTCCTTTGTATCCATGTTTACAGCTGCAGTCACTCTGAGATAAAGACAACACACACCATTGGTTTGTTTAAATGTCGACAGACATCAGGAGACAATGATTAAAGACCAGACGCTACTTGTAGAGTTAACTGTTAGCCAACTCCATCACCCAGAGCATCATGGGAAGTGTTATTCCAAACAGAGGTGAGACTCCCCTCAGCATACAGTGACACCTGCAGGGGCTGTGAAGAAATGCAGGTTAAGATAAATCTCACCTGTCCAGGACCTACGTAGATGCAGGTGGCGTTAGGGTGACAGCCGCTGGTGTCAGGGCCGTCACAGTTGTTGATTGGTTGACACTCATCTCCATCCTCCCTCCATCCTGTCAGACACTGGCAGGAGTGAGTCCCAGGTCCTGTCTTTATACATTTAGCCTGCAGGGGGCAGTGCAGAGTCAAACATGACGGATCTGGACAGACGAGCCACAGCAATCATTAAAGAGTGACTTACGTTCACACTGCAGCCGCCACGAAGAGGCGGCGCACAGGGGTCGGACTCCACACAGGTGATACCATCACCCTGGTAACCAGGTTTACAGACACACCTGAAAGCACACGCACCAACCCTTTACTGCCCCCTGCTGTACATCTGCTGTAGAGATGTTTAGAGTCAGAGCCCCACAGATAAACTCACCTGGTCGTCCCCTGACTGAAATCGCAGTCAGCATGGGCGTGGCAGAACTGAGCCTGGATGCCGCAGGCTGCCGTCTGTCGATCGCATAACGGACCAGTGAACCCCGGCAGACACGAGTCGACTTTACAGCGACCGCCTGAGTCCGGACGGTTGTCGCACTGTCCTTGGGCACAGAGACACGCTGCATACACACAGGTAGGGTCACTTCCTCTGACATCACATATACCTGATGTCACAAGGTGATCATGTCTACGTTAATATTGTTTCTCTACGTTAATATTGTTTCTCTACATTAATATTGTTTTAAGGTCTTGACCTTTAAATGTAAAGTGCCTTGAGATAATGTAAATTATGAATTGGCGCTATATAAATGAAGTTGAATTGAATGTCACTTACTCATGTCACACCTTGGTCCATGTTTATTGGTTCTGGAGCAGAAGTGACAGCGAGAGCCTTGGAAGTTTGGATCACAGATACAGGAACCGTTTCCTGTGATGCCCTCCATACACTGTAAAAGATACTTCACCTCAACCCTTCATAAACTGTAAAAAAATACTTCAGTAGGTAAAAAACGATTCAGTTACTTCAAATCTTTGGTCAATAGAGTTTTTTGTTTGTGCAGATTGAGTCTGACCTGACCGTGTCCTGAGCAAGGAGTCTGGTATCCACCTGGACAGGGGCGGCAGTCAGGACCATAGAAACCTTTACAACATGCTGGAGTCTGAACACACACACACACACACACACACACACACACACACACACACACACACACACACACACACACACATACTTCCATCAAAACAGTCTTGGTTGAAGTGCAAATTAACTCAGGTCATGAATCATGTGTTTCTGTACCGTTACAGTTGTATTGCAGAGCAAGGAGCAGCCAGTGGCCGGGACGTTGATGGGCGGACTGCCGACAGAAATCATGTACAGACATCCAAACCTGGACAAGCCCTGACAAGCAGAGATCACACACTGACACACAGTTTTGTAACTCATACTTTTCATGCTCCTGTTTATTACACAGTTTATCACTCTACTCAGTTTGAAAAGTGATCAGAGTGAGAAGTCTAACTCTAATAAACTTTAATAAACTGTGATAATAAATGATCAGAGTGAGAAGTCTAACTCTAATAAACTTTAATAAACTGTGATAATAAATGATCAGAGTGAGACGTCTTACTGTGTCAACCCCAGATGAGCACGGAGTCACTTTGATCTTCAAGCAGCTGACACACTCATCCTGAAAAAAACCCAGTTGATGATACACATTAAAACTGTTTTTCTTCTGTTTTAAATCAGGTTCGAATCAGGATTAAATCAGGTTAATATCAGGTTTGAATCAGGTTTAAAGACAACTTCAGTCAGTCTGAACACAGCAGATCAGGACCTAACCAGCAGATGAAAAAGGAAGATGGTGGCGGTGGAGTCTCACCCTAACAATCTTGGTCTCTGTGATGTCACACCTGTGAGGCAGCACAGGTTCGATGGAGGGTGGAGTCAAAACTCCATCCAGAACATACAGACGTCCATTCTTTGCTTCCACCGCTGACTCCAACACCGCTGCTCCATTAACCAGGATCTGACCCTGGAAAACAAAGCTTCACAATATAGACGGCCCAGAATGCAACACCAAACACAAGCCACTTATTTTAAACAAATGTCCAAACTCACGTTTTCTGTCACGTTTATCGTCAGAACCTGATTCGCCTTCGTTACAATTCTGGGGCTGGAAACAGCGTTGAAGACTTCCAGCTTCAAATCAGGAAAATAATTCTTCATCATCATCATTATCATACACAAGAGTAACTGAATGTAAACATGGTGCCGTACTCACGGCAGTGGACGGGATGATGTGGTTCCTGAGAAGTTCCACCAGTTTGTTGTGACCCTGAAGTTTCAGAATAAAACGTCAGAGAACAGACGCGTGTATGTGTGTGTGTGTACTAATTTTGAGCCTTTAACCAACAAAGTGTGGACATTTTGTCTGGTCCTCACTTTCTCACCCGATCTTAATGGAGTGTTTGAGGGTTAGAATCAGGTTGAGGCTTAGATTAGGGTAAGGGAATGCATTATGCCAAAGAGTGTCCTCACTAAGCACAAACAAACCTCAGTGCTGCTCAAGTATGTCAAGTGTCCGTCACTCATGGTGTCGAAGGCTAAGCTGGTCGGAGCGAAGACAGTGATCGGCCCTGGAAGATCCAAGATGGATGCCAGCTGAGTTTTCTGTGGAGTGAACTCAACATGGTCATTAATTCATAGTGACAGGTGAAAGGTGACACTAATGACCACCGTTCATGACAAGGTCATTACACCTGAGTGGTTCATCCTCTGAGGACCAGGACCATCATCAGAACATCTGAGTGTTCTGAACAGGAAAAAGGGTCCTCTCAACTCCTCGTGGTTACAGAATCTAAACATGTTGTATGCAAGAAGCGCTTACCTCCAACAAAGTCTTGAACTTGTCAAACTTTCCGTAGTCAGAGATGATCTTCATCAGGTTCTCCTGAAGACAGCAAACAGAATCAGAATCAGAAGTACTTTATTAATCCCCGTAGGGAAATTAAAAACATTGTGAATAAATGGATCCATCAAAACAGGATCAGATCCGGTGTGAGAACACTTTTTTTACCTCAGGATTGCTCTCAACGGTCGGTGTGACACTGTCCATCAGCTTATTGATGAGATGGATCATCCCGTTGGATGCGACGATATCTGACTGGATGATCACACCTTTCTTTCTGCTGCCATGGATACGAATTTTGGTCTGAGCGTCCTGGAAGAAAAACAATGATTTGATTTGAGGAAGGAGACAAGGCTGACGACCTGAAGACTGGACGACCGGTCAATGCAGCAAACACGTCAAAAGATGGATTCATCATAAAACCTTCTAACTAAGAACATACGTTCATTCATCTGTTTGTTAAAGACGTTATTCTCACTGATCTCTCACCCCCTCCGACGTGTCCACCCCTGCTGATTTTCCCGTCAGGGTGAAAAACACGTTTGTTTTTTTCAGAGTGTCAAATGGCATCACCCCGGCAACCAGGTGCATCTTACACAGGTACTCAGCTCTAGATGAGTTGGCAAGCAGAATCCTCACCTGTGGATGGACAGATGGACAACGTGACAGGACAATCAGACGTCAATCTGACGATGATCGGACGTTAGTCGTACGTTGATCAGAAGATGATCAGACATTGATCGGATGTTGATTAGGGTTAGGGTTAACCCAATAATAAATCAATTTCATTAGACGAAGATGAGAAACTGAGGTCAGAGCAACAGAAACTTTTATCAGTTGATAAATTTGATGGATTCTCACCAATGTTCCTTTGAAACCTTTATTGATCGGGATGAAAACGGTGAATGGACCCAGGTTCTGCAGAGGCCACGACAGCAAACCTGAAATGACAACAAGGTCCTTTAATTGTCCGATCAGCTCATCTGCTTCTTTCTCTAAAACGAATCATCGTACCGAACAGTTCAATGGCGTTGCTCAGTTGACCCCTCCACTGTCCACCAGGTTCCGTGTTCAGCTCGTTCAGACGCTGCACGATGTTCCCGTAACACACTTTACCGTTACCAATGTAACCCTGGAGACAGGTACATCTGAGGGACAGAGGGACAGGTGATGTTACTGCAGTTAAAAACATCCAGGGGTGAAGAGACAGAGAGTTCAGGGGACTGACTCGACTTGTCCCGGGCCCACGGTCGAACAGTTGGCCTTCTTGTGACAGGAACCTGGTCGACAGACGTCCTTCAGGCTGCAGCCGCCGTTCGACAGGTTGTTGAAGCCAGGAAGACACTCACAGTGAGACTGAAGCAGAGAGACAGTTTTATTATGATGGCGAATCCTCCTCGGATCTTGATCCTGATCTTCAGTCTAAACCTGTTCTTGATCTTGATCATGCTCCTGGTTCTGATCTGGAGGAACCTAGTTCCTCTCAGTTTTTCATTACCTTTCCTGGTCCGTCATAGATGCATTGCGTGGACTCAGTGGAGCAGCCTCCTTTTTTGGTCTGACACGGATCGATGGCCATGCAGACTCGTCCGTCGCCGATGTAACCCTCATTACAGGCACACAGGTGCTGGTTTGGACCCGTGTGGATGCAGGAGGCGTTGGTGTGACAGACCCTCTGAAGACACGGGTTTATCGCTGAGGACGTAGACCATAAATAAATATAAAAATCAATAAAGTTTAAATAAAGAAAGAATAATGTTTAAACTCAAAGAATAAAGTATAAACTCACATAAACACTGATCTCCTGACATCTGGTGACCTGGTAAACACTGACATACTAACTGACCCGTCAGAGCTTCTTCCATACAACGAGAGTTCTGCCGACACCTGAGCGCTGCACACTCAGGAACCTCTGTGAGGTCAGAGGTCAGAGGTCAGGTAATGATGAGATAACTGATGATGAGTAATGACTGATTATTGATCAGACTTACCCTTTTCACAGTTTGGACCTTTGTATCCTGAGAAACAGGTGCAGTGTCCATCACCTTTTAATCCAGAGTCACAGAGACCATGAAGACAGGAACACTCTGAGGGGGGGATGGAGACAGAGAGAGAGGGAGGGAGGGAGAGAGAGAGAGAGAGAGAGAGAGAGAGAGAGAGAGAGAGAGAG